AATATAAGTTTAACATAACAGCAAATGTACAACGTGATGATGACAAAACCTTGCCGAAACGTTGTACATTTGCTGTTATGTTAAACTTATATTAAAGTTTTTCTTCATTACCCATTCAAGCCGTCTCCAGCCATTATTATTCCCTGACAATGGTATTTGAACACTGGAATTTGTTCTAACGTGTGTCAGTTCACGATCACCTTAGTTGGCTTGGTAGGGAGTTTTACTTTCAACCTCTTCTGGGATGTCTTCTGTGGTTGCTTTGGCATTAATGCGTATATCCTATGTGAACCACATTACCAGATAAGGATGAGGCAAACTCGAAACACATTACCTGAATTAGCCTTGATATGGAAACTAATAGTTATGATTCCCAGCGCCGAGTAGACGCGATTCTATGAGAGAAAGCAACAAATTTCTATATTAGAAATCATCATTATAGGAAGCAACTTTATAAAAAACGATTAATGGAACTTTGAAGAGAATAAACAAGTGGAATGATATCTGTAAGAAGATCGAATTTACACAGTTTGTCTTTATACACCATGAGTTAATAATATCGGATGTTTTTGCAAAGGTCAGCAAATAATTATCGAAAGATAGTTCCATACGAACCAATTAACAAATGGTTGTGGTTTGGTGGAACATTCCACTTGTACCAATTATATTGAAGGAACTACTTGTGAAACAGATCTACTGGATTTCTTGAGAAATCGTAAAGAAACAAAAAAATGGGTATAAAACATTGTGATTCCAACCGTGGAGGCATCTTGCTCAAGCTGATCCAGACAGACCAGTGAACCCATCATCATGGCTGTACTTCAAATCCTAGAAGGCATTCATTGCATAAACTCTTTGTAAGTAATGTTATTTCTGATCTTGTTGTACTTTAGTAATGTATAATGTTTGCAGAGAGAAAAGTGAAAAATATTATTTGTATTGTAGATTTAGTATGACTACTAAAAGATATCATTGAATTGCTAAGAGATATATTGGACGATTTGCTAACACAGTTGCATAATGAAAACTATGACTGAAGGAATTTTTTTTATCACTTTAATAGGTAACTCGTTCAATGTTTTATCCATATTAATGAACACAGTACAAGATTTCATTAACAAACATATTAGTATCCAAAACAAAGAATTTAATAGTTTGATCTTGGATTATCTCAAGATAAATTTGGAAGCTTTTATGTAGAGAAATTTATCGATAACTTGTAATAAAAATTATTTCGTGTTTGTATTACAACTGTCTCTGAGTGAGTTCTGTATTCCACACATAAGTTCCCCGAGTTGGTGACTTGTGTACTTCACTCGTGATTGCATAACCTGGAGTTAAAATAAGTTCATCTGGAACTTGTATGAAGTTAAACCCAACGACTAGTCCTACTGGCCCCTGTTACCTACTGTAAAGAATTCGGCCCCCATAAAACTGACATCATCTAAGTTTCTGCTTTTGTATGTTCGTCGTGGGAACATTACCCTTTAAAACATTTAAAGTACATTCACAAATATACATGATAAATTCATTTGTAGCTCTGGAAAGTATTCCTTTAATAAATTTATGGGTAGTTTTAGGTAATGCATGGAGCAACTCTTGATGTTGTTTAACTCAAAGTGTCATGATGAATAAATGAAAAGAGATTGTAACTGCAACATATAAGAACTGTATATTCATTCATCCATTTAGATATAACATTTACTTTTATTACACTACAATGATAATGATTGTTAATTTGAAACAGACAGGACAGGACACTTAATCATCTGTATTTCTTGGGACCACGAGTGACCCACGACCACCAAACTCATCTATAAATCAAGATAATACCCTAGAGGTGGATCATCAGATCCATATGAAATGTAAACAATACTATCTGTATCGTAATACAACACATATGAACTTAACTTCTCTAGTGTATGGTATAATTTCAGATGAGCACAAACAGTGGTAAAAGACGCCAGATACTCAGGTTTGTGTTTGCAATGAAGAGCAATAACTTCATCATTAACTAGTGTAACATCTGTTATTTCTTTAGTATTATCATTGATTAAAGAGTGATACTCCTTAACAGATGTTACATAGGTAAGTTGTCGTTTGACCTCAGACATACCCCAGCATCCCCAAAAAAAGAGTTAAAACAAAGTTTTGCAACATATTCAGCATACGGAGTAACATAACCCTGTTTTACTTCTAATGTTACACAGTGAGAGGGCCATCCAGAACTTTCTTGTTTTATTTTAAGAAACATATCAATATAATTATTTAAAATATCCCTGGATTTAATGAAAAAGTAGTAAATCTCAAACATTTTCATTACACACTCTTCATACCAACCACAGTGGTTATATGGTGGTGGTGATCTTGATTCCACACTATCTGAATAAGAGAAAAATTTATCTGCCATTACTTCTAAGATGTAAAATAAGGTGGTAGAATTTCCTTGGGACTAGAATTTTACATTTTAAAATTCCAAAATAGCTTTTTACAGTACTTATTCATCCATGAATATAGGGATGTAAGGTAATTGTACCTGATCTTTTCTCCTTCCTTTATATCATACAAAAGTTTTGTCACAATTACTCTCTCTCCAAAGAAGGTATCTCGTAGGTGAAGATGTTTTGCATTTAATTAGTGACATCTTTGTAAACTTGATGCACTAAAGCCGTAATTTACGCTAATTCTTTAGCCGAAGTAAAGGTTACATATCACAGTGCTTTTTCAATAAGTCTTATACTTGTTTGGTCCTGTTTCCGTGTCATGCCTTCATTTCAAAGGTAGCACAAAGACTTGTACAAGATAGTAAGGGTTTGGGGTGTATCTCTTGAAAATAAATAATGGGAATGCCTGTTGAAGTAGGTAATATAAGGATTATGGGATATAACACTAAGACCTCAGTCTTATATAAAAATATGGATTCATCATTATTATTTTAATTATTGTCTCTGTCCAGTGCCTACGTAAGAAATCTTTTTTCTCTGTCTCAGGGGCCAGAAATCCTTATGATGATCGTAGGAGCTAGCCATAATGGATGTTTCAGCAATTCTTTTGTTGTGTACATAATTTATTTGTTCTATTTGTATACATGTGTTTACTTGTTTATTTCAGTCTCTGCACAGTATTTCCAGAACATTGTCAATATTTGATACTTTTATGTTGAACGCCTGAGCACCACAGTGTCATCAAAGTAAACTATACTACGAAGAAAACAATATATCACTTCAACAAATTTTTCATAGTTTCATATAAAGCTTCTCTAATATTATTATTATATTTTTAATTTGAGTAACATGTTATAATTTTTATTATGAACCATTTAAACAACAATTAAATCGAAAACCATTTTACTTAAGTATTATAATTAAGAATTATACGTTAGAAGAAAATAATAAAGTTTATTTGTGACAGATTCTGTAAAATATAAGTAAAGAGAAATGACGGCTTTTTCCATAAAGATAACGGAAGCTCATAAATCTGAAAAGAAAATTTTCAACGTTTAACAAAAATATCTATTTAATCAAAATCATTACATATTATATGACTAGATCTAAATAATGCGTTTATATATCGGTTATCTTGATATTTTATTTTCCCAATTCAAAATAGTATGTTATAGTAATTATATAATGATTAACGAATCTTATTATTCAAACCAATAAAATTATCAATGTATCTATAAATTAAAATAAATAAAGCTGAAGTTAAGACGTTTTTCATTAACAAGTAAGCAACTTGAGGAGATTAGTTGTCACCTATAGGGATATGAACAACCTGTTTGTAAAATTTATGTTTGAAGGCAATGAAGTTATAATAGAAGCAGAATCTATAAAGGTTTTTAATTATTTAATATATTGGTATATAGATAAATAAATAAAAACATTTAAAATTCTAATTAGATCCTAAAAGCAGAAGTTTGTGCTGAAATAGTGTTTTGTTACATTATATAAGGTTTTTAGTTTATATATAGCTACTTCATTATTATTGAAAGCCCAAAATTCACGACTCTTTTGATCAACATGTTTAATTTTAACTACTAATAAGTTCCAATCGTTGTTTAAGAGGTGAGTTGGCTCTTATATAACATATTTTTATGAACTGTCTATGAATATTAAGATTTCAAAAACTAAATAAGATATGGTTAAATTCAGGTTTATTACTAGTTTCATTTTTTTTATTTTAAATTTAATCAGTTTCATTAACAGCAACTATCTTTCCACAACTGGTTATAGCAAATGAATGGTAGCCTTAGATGTGTGGCGCTGATAACTTAAGAACACATATATGTTCTTAATGTATATACACACAGTTGTTTTGTAAATTGTGTTTTTGAGCTTAAGTGCAATGAGAGTTTCCTCAAACCATATCAGTAGCCTTCATTCTAATATTAATTTTACAAATTAAAGTGAGAACAAATTTCCATCAATTTTTAAATGTCTGTATTATCATAAAACTAGCATGATTTGTCCACAGGTAAGAGAACCACACTCACCGATGAAACGATTTTTATTTTTTCAGAATTTTCACCCAAAGCTATACAAAAGACTACCTGTACATAGCCGTCCCAACTTTTGAATTGGTAAACTGGATGGAAGGCAACCAGTCAACAGCATCCATCGATAACTTTTGAGCTACTCTTATCTGACTGAATAGCTGTATTTGACTGTCAGTTGTATTGAGCACCCATAGACGGATTAGTTAATTATTATCTTACATATATAGTGTATGGGGTGAGGCTTTTTAAGAGTTGTTTACCTTGTATGTACTAGAGAGAAATAAAATTACTTAATGCTGTTGAAAGGATTTCAGTTTGCTTGAGACAAGTTTACTTTTTTAACACTACAGTCACAGAAGTGTTATTCTCAATGAATTGAATTTAAAAGCTATAAGGTTTTCGACTACAATCAGGGGTTCGAGATTAGTGAGATTATTAACGATTTTGAACTAGCAGCATCTCCTCGCCCATTCAGTTGAAATATTCAGGTTTGTGGGCAGTTTACGGAAATCTTACCAATATTCACGTCACTACTAACAAATGGTACTCAAAAATGTTCAGCCACAGGAAGGACATGTGTTCAGTCAGCAACTTAGGGTTGAAGGTGCAACTGGGTGGTTGAGGTAATGACATGCAAGCACAGGTTCATGCATGTAGCTTGCTCCACGAATGCTGAATCAGTACCTCTGAATATATATATAATCTATACTACAGTAGTCTGGGAATATACTATTGACACAGGAATCCTTCCAGCTCTGGCTAGCTGCTGTATCAGAAATGCAATATCTCCAATATCTGATTGCCTTAACAAAGCATGGGTACAATGGGAGACTGAAAACTGAAGACTGGTTCTCTATGTCTGTGATTGAAAACTCTGAGAGCCAAATAAGTCCAACCTGCTTCCTAAAATATATTAAACTGAATGAATAACCAAAATCATGTCTGATTTCACAACTAAACTCAAAGGTATTGTCGTGTGGTTAATTTACAAATGAAATCATTGTAATAAATACAAAAATCGTGTATAATGACTATCTTGTTCAGAAATAAACTGAAATAAAAGATTCAATAATATTAGAAAAGTTCGGAAATTATTTGATTATACAAATCAATAACATTCCTAGTTCAGAGATACTCGAAATCACTAGGTACTCTTTATTTTATTGCATATTGAAAGAACAAGTAATCGTGATTATAATTCATAAAATACTGAGTCACAATCTATGAAAATATGTTTGTTTGTTATGAATTTCGCGCAAAGCTACACGAGGGCTATCTGCGCTAGCCGTCCCTAATTTAGCACTGCAAGACCAGAGGGAAGGCAGCTAGTCATCACCACCCACCACCAACTCTTGGGCTACTCTTTTTACCAACGAATAGTGGGATTGACCGTCACATTATAACGTCCCCCACGGCTGAAAGAGCGAGCATGTTTGGTGTGACGGTGATTCGAACCCGCAACCCACAGATTTCGAGTCGAGCGCCCTAACCACCTGGCCATGAAAATATGAACTGCTACAACTGCAGCCCTCCAGTAGCATAGCGGTATGTCTGTGGACTTACAACGCTAGAATCCGGGTTTCGATACCCGTGGTGGGCAGAGCACAGATAACTACAACTGCAAGATATTTCTTCATTCACTCAAGTGAAAATAATGGGGCGAAACTGTAAATACCTTTTACCTGAATCAATAAAACATAGAAAACTTCATGTTTATCTGTCAATGCTGTCTAACTTAATCACTGCAGCCTTTATTAAACATGCCACACTACAATATTCAAAGCCAAGTTATTTATTTGTCTAAAATGTTGTTTTAATGTATATATCACATTTGTATAGATTATTGAATATACAGAACTGCTTCGTGTATATGATAATAATACAGGTCATATCTAAATACTTAAGAGCACTTTACTACAAATTATTTATTTGTCTAAAATGTTGTGTTCTTGTATATATCACATTTGCGTAGATAATTAAATATACAAAACTGCTTCGTGTATATCTATATATATATATAACAAAAAGCTGTGTGTTTGTTTGTTTATGGGTTATCTATCTACTCCTAGGTCATTGGGCCACTCTCAACCAAACTTTGGGGAATGATAGTTCGGAACAAGTGGCATATTACTGAAGGGTTCAAAAACCCTCTAACTCCCATTATTGATATTATTGAGAATTTATTATCTTTGATGTAAGTTAACCTTAACTACATTCATAGAGAGCGCCACGTTCTTACCCCAAACCCAAAAAACTTTATTAAATTTTCTATAACACAACATATACATAGTGTGGGAAAGGGCGCACAAACGTTATATATACCTCAAAGAGTGCACTAAATCTCTGTGGAGTAATGCAATTTCTTTATTACTATTGCAGTACTACAACAAGTCAGCTGAAGTTTATATTCCAACAGACACCATAAGACTGATATGAAGAGCCGTTTCTTGAGTTATACCCGCTTCCTCCTTTGACCCGCGACCTTTTCACTTTGGCCGTAAGACAATTCTGCAGCCAATGACCATCAATTAATTAATAACGTGAAACACTGTGGAAGGACACAAAGTGCTAGGTGTTGAAAGTGGGTAACAAAAAGCATAGTTACCGCCATTAACTTGCCCGCTACCTAATTAATTAATAACGTGAAACACTGTGGAAGGACACAAAGTGCTAGGTGTTGAAAGTGGGTAACAGAAAGCATAGTTACCGCCATTAACTTGCCCGCTACCTAATTATAAAATGGTGGGAACAAAGAGTTATAGTAATAAAACCACTAACAGAGAAAAAAAATACGTGAGAAACAAGGCATTAATAATTATCTTTCAAGGGATTTAGTTTCATAATGAATACAGACATATATTCTGAGATAGGCAGAACAAGTCAATGCATTGCTTACAGGTGAGACCTTTCAGGCTTGCTGAAGTAAAAGTTGGAACATTTTTAAATTTTCTTTGCAGATTTCACTAAATAAATATTGGAAAGTGCCTAATATAAAATATTTTTGAGATAAAACATTTTGAAATTGCGCAGAAGCATTATATTTATTTATATTTAGATATTTGACAAGCGGAAGTGCATTTGACACCTGGAAAGTCCTCTATAGTTTGAAAAAGGTTAACATGAGTGCTCATAAAGCAAGGATTGCAAAGTTTGTTTTATAATATTGATTTATCAAACTCCCAGTCATCATGAAAAAGTGAAGCCAACTTTAACTTTCCTTGAGACCGTTTGTAACAATCTCAGATGTCCTAGTTATGAAGGATGCAATTTTTATACAGCCTGCTTTAGAGAAATTCCACTAAACTCAGTTTGATATGTTGAGTGATAATTGTAAGACATCGGAAAAGCATTCTGCTACTAAGTATTACTAAATAGCTTGGGAAGTAAGGGTTGTAATGCCCTTTTAGCTTCTTATCTTTTAACAACCAACGATTCTAACTGTAAAATAATTGAGTGGTTAGCACACGTTCACCTTTCCACAAACCATCAATTAACAGTTGTAAAAAAAAGGAATGTCAGTGCCTTTCAATCATTGATTTACATGTTGTCCAAATAACAGAAGTTTAAGGAGAATATACATTTGACTGTTGCTCTGATGCATAGTATGCTAACATAACAAATGGTAGGCATTCATCCAATTTAGTTTGGTCAGAGTTCATCACTTATCAAGCATATGCTTGTCATCTGTACTGGTTGTTCAGCCAAACAATTGGAAGAATGCAATATGGTGAGATGAACGTTTCCACTATGTTAAACCCAGTGAACATCTGGCTACTGGTGTTAGCTCCTTGATTCATGGGGATCTCTCTAAGTCCTGCAAAGCATAATATTGCGCAACCAACAAATACATTGATTGTAGTAATGGGTCAGTCAAAAAATTAAGTTTGGTGAAGTAATTCATAATTACCTTTCTCAGTTTCGGGCAAAGGACCAGCTATATCTAGGAGAATTCTCTTGAGAGGATAGCCTATAATTCTCTGATGTAGTTAGTTTTCCCTCTGGGCAGTGCACCTGGTACGTTGTCCATTCCATTGTTCAACATCTTATGCAATTATAGGAGAAACCCCTCTTTCAGACATTTATATTCGTATGTGATACTCTCTGGTGTCATATAATCTTTGCATTATACAAAAGCCTGAAGTATCCCATACCTTAGAGCTTTCAACACCACTAATTGCATCACATGGTAGCTACCATGTGTCAGTGGCTCGTACCGATGGTACATCATCTCCAATTTTGCATACATAACTGACTATATTGATTGTACAAGTTCTATAAATTACACGTGTACAACACCCGCTAGTTTCTGATGGTCATACTTTACCTTGCTACATTTTTATACATAGATGGCAAGTAACACCCAAGCCTTGTCTGTATTCTTCAATTGCTCATCCTGGAGTTCCTGATTTGTCATTTGAGGCTTCCATCAAATATAGAATCCTTACTGCTCGTGTGTTTCATTATTTTTGCTTCTGAAATGGCTTTGACTGCTATACAGTATCGAGGTTTTGAAGCATCTAATGAACTGATATGAATTACTCTGTCTGACATGACAATCCACCAGAATTTTAGTGATGGTTTTGTACGCTTACAGCATCATTGTCCAATGTGCAATTATACCTTCTGAATACTTGCAGTTAGCCATTTCAATGATGCATGGTCCACTTGAATTTTGAAATCACCAGTAAACAGATAGTGGTGGCAATGTTCGCCAACTGCTACAATAACGAACATTCAAGAGAAGTCAGTAGATGACTTGCTTATGCAATTACTCACATCATATTATCCTGTGGCAAAATAAGTCAAGTCCCACTATCACTAGCATATGCACCCAGGATGAATGGACAACCTTGATGAGGATAAACCAGCAAATTGGACTTCTCCTTTGGTTTCAAAATGAAGCCAGTTCTTGACCCTTGTGAGTTTCTCAGGATTGGTAGACATTCTTACTCAACCTAGTAAATGAGATTAAGAAACTCCACATCTGTAATCATCAATGAACGCTTTTCTAGTTTCAGTTTTAAAACTACATCCTTGAAGCACTGAAATACCATTCTCAGGTTCTCAGCAGAAGCTTCAAACATGTAACTAAAAACATAAAATATCATTCACGATAGATGTAACATCTCTTCCATTGCAGTTCTATAAGTGTATATTCCACCAGCTTCTTGAAGTTAGCAAGCACGTTATGCAGATGGAATGATATGATATAATTCATAAAGTTTTTCCAAAGTGCTGAAAGCAATGTTAAGTCTACTTTTACCACTCAGTTCAACTTACTAGTACCTAGAAACCAGATTCAGTGTATTCAAC